CATCAATCACTATTTTAGAAAATGCATTACAGACTTACTTATAGAGTGATATTTTTGGTTTTTATTTTTTTTAAATCAAACTATCATAAAATTGTCCTTGAGCTTCTAAAAGAAAAGAAAGGAATGAAGGAAGGGAGGAAGGAAGGAAGGAAGAAAGGAAGGAAGGAAGGAAGGAAGGAAGGAAGGAAGGAAGGAAGGAAGGAAGGAAGGAAGGAAGGAAATAGTTCATTCTGAGCCAAATATGAATGCTCATGGTCCAGGATCATGTTTCAAGTTACTCTTAATGACATGTTTGCCCTCCATGGAGAAGGGTCCATGAACCTTGATAGTCATAGAAAAGGAAGTCATGAACCTGTTAGTGGTGGAATATGTCTGTGACCACATTTGAGAGACAGAGGCGAAAGGATCACTATGAGTTCCAACCCAGGCTACATAGCAAAATCCTATTTAAAAAAAAAATTAAAAGCAGGATTGAGTGGCATATGTGAGCCCTAGATTCAATTCCTACCTTAAAAAACCAGACTTTTAGCCAGGCATTATGGGGCAAGCCTGTTCTCCTAGTACTTGTGAGACAGAGGCCTGATACCCCGTCTGTGCCACACTGAGTTGGCTCTTGGACTTGGAAACCCAGCAGGGGGCACAGGCACCTCCTTATCCTCAGGGATGCAGGGCCTGGGGAGGGGACTGAGACCCATCTCTGGTGCTGTGCCCTGTGCTGTGGTGTGTGCATGACCCCTGAAGCTTCCTCCTTCTCTTCCACCTCCTCTGCTCATCACTTCCTTCCGTTCTCTGATGTTTGAATTGGACCCCCACCCTACCCCCAACTTCTCTCTCAGGAGTTCTGGTTCTGCAGGCTGCTGGGCACTGGACCCCGGCAGGATGAAGGCAGGAATGTGTCCTGGGCAGGGCATCCTCACAGACAGGGGACAGCATGAGACAGAGGAAAGCTCTGAATGGCACTTACATGACTGTTCCCTGGATGGATTCCAGGGGTGGAATGAGGGGGTTCTCAGTCAAGGAGGCCTTGTACTTCAGAGCTAAAACTGGGAATGCCGTGGAGGTCAGAGGACAATTTGTGGGCGTTGATTCTTTCCTTTCTATCAAGTGGGTTCTGGGGATTGAACTCAGGTCATCAGGCTTTAGCACCTTTACCCACTGAGCCACCCTCCTGGACTTGTTTAGTGAGTTAGGATTTCCCTATGCAGCCAGTGCTGATCTCCAATTAATGATTCTCAACCTGCCAGTGGTGGTGCATACCTTTAATCCTAGCATTCAGGAGGCAAAGGCAGGCAAACCTGTGAGTTGGAGGCTAGCCTGGTCTACAGAGCATTCTAGGACAACCAAGGCTACACAGAGAAACCCTGTCTAGCAAATTAACAACAACAACAGCAACAAAAAAGACTCTCCTGCCGCAGAACCATGAATGCTCAGAATTATAGGTATGTGCTTGCATGACCAGCAAATACACATTATTACTATTAGTTATTATTATTTTGAGACAAGGTGTCCAAGTGTATCCCTGGCTGGCTTGGAACTTAGTAGGTAGACCAGGCTGGCCTCAAAGCCAGAGAGATCTGCTTGCCTTTGCCTCCTAGGTACTGGGATTAAAGATGTATGTGCCTGGCAAATATATAATTTTTTAATAATGGGCTTTGGATTACATATAAGGCATCAACTATCAACCAGAAAGCAGTTCCCCCTCAGATTCATCTTGTGTAACTGCCTTAGAGAGGAAATTGCATGCTGGGAAGACATGAGTGACACACCACTTTTCCCCAAAGTTGTCACGGCCACTTTGCTGTGGTGCAATCAATACTGCCCACCCTCTGGAAGGGACAGCTGAAGTAGGACGGCCATCTGGTCACTTCCGGTTGAATACCTCTTCAACTTTTGTTCCTGAGACCCTAGGCTGAGACATAACAAAGGGATTGAAAGATTGATGGACTGAAGCATTAGTCACCAGGCGATGAGTAACTCCGGGAAGAACTGAAGCAATTTTTAGCTTGGGTTCAGAAAGGCAGCGAGTTCTAAGAACAAAAGGTGTGTTCTGAGCCTGGGAGGAACGCCAGCGCTGTCCATCAAAGCCCAGGTGGTCCAGCACCTGCTCCATCCTCCATCCTGCAGAAGTCAGGGACCCAGCATGATTGGCTTCCTCAGGGGAAGCTTGTCACTGTGGAGAGGTGGGTACAGCTGACTTCTGGGGCAGTCCCTCCACCCCTGCCACCAGACATGGAGTGAGGCCAACTTTCTTACCTTAGTCTGTCTCCGGGACCTTGGTCTCCCTTCTGATTGATACAGGTCTATGCCACTGTACCCAGTTGTTTGTTTGTTTATTTAATTTTTTAAAAAAGATTTTTGTTATGAGACCGTCTCAATCTATATGTTTTAATTATGTATATGAATGTGTGTGTGTGTGTGTGTGTGTTTAAAGATTTATTTATTACATATACAGTGTTCTGCATGCATGTATCCCTGCAGGCCAGATGAGGGCACCAGATCTCATTACAGATGGTAGTGAGCCACCATGTGGCTGCTGGGAATTGAACTCAGGATCTCTGGAAGAGCAGCCAGTGCTCTTAACCTCTGAGCCATCTCTCCAGCCCTATTTTATTTATTTATTTTTTTAAGATTTATTTCTTTATTATGTATGCAGTGTTCTGCCTGCACGCCAGAAGAGGGCACCAGATCACGTTACAGATGGTTGTGAGCCACCATGTGGTTGCTGGGAATTGAACTCAGGACCTCTGGAAGAGCAACCAGGGTTCTTAACCTCTGAGCCATCTCTCCAGCCCACAGTTGTTTATTTATTTATAAAATGTGCTGTGACCGCAGATGCAGCTGCATTGTGCTTTTAGACAAATCTCTGGCTTGGCTCAGGATTCACTTATGGAGACACAGTATTTTGTTGGGGAGTTGGGCAAATAACAAAATTCCCTCCAAGGCTCTGACCCTTGGCTGTGCAAACCTCAGGCTATCCTGACCTCTGAGGTCCTAGCGACAGCCACAGCTTCAGTCAGAAGTCAGCTGCCAGTTTGTGCTAGACAAGCTGCAGGAGCTCTGTGGGAATGGCGCCTTGTTGGGATGTGCTATGTCCCCAGAGTGCCTGGCTCTGTGCCCTGACTGGGTGAGGACAGGCTCCTTGGTGTCCTCCTAGAGAGCATGCTGGCCTGTGTTAACTGAGAGCTGCCGTGAGCTGCCAGGGATGCCTCTCCAGCTCTCTGGAGGCTAAGGCTGGAGTTACCATGGTAACTAGCCCATCAGTAAGGCACCTGCCGCAGAAAGGTCATGACCCCTGCTGGACCCTCCCGAGGGCTGCCAGAGTCCACCCAGAGGGCTATAAAGTCAGTTAGACTCAGCATTAGGTTCTGTCTAGGTGTCCTGGTCCCTGACTATCATTGCCAAACTTTGGAGACTGAGGCAGGGATCTAAGTTTGAAGCCTGCCTGGATTATATGGGGAGATTCTGCCACAAACCAACCCAATCCACCAGGGAATGTCCTAAGGCAAAGCAGTGCGTGGGGCAGGTACTGCTTCCTGGCTAAAGAGAACCTGTTTTGGGGCTGAGAGGGATACACTATTTAGTCTGTGGTCTCTTGGAATCACACTGCAGTCTGGGCACACTCAAGTCCACGCCACTCCAGAGAAGGCTCAACACTGCATGGCAAAATGTACGCCCTAGCTTATCCACAGTGAGTCCTTCCTTAATGTTCCTCCCCTCTATACAGCTGAGTTTGACTAAGTTTAACTCATGCTCCCACCTCAAAATGCACAATCACAAACCCCTTGGGAATGTGTGTGTGTTCTGGGAGTGGTGGCAGGGGCGGTGTCTGGGACTTGAACTCATGGCCGCCCACAGACTATATCACTCCATCACTGAGTTACACCCTAGCCAATGATTAAAAAAAAAATTTTTTTTTTTTAATTTCTTTTTGGTTTTTTAAGGCAGGGAGGGTTTTTCTGTGTCCAGGCTGTCCTGGAACTTGCTTTGTAGGCTGGCCTGGAACTCAGGTCTGCCTCTGCCTCCTAAGCTCTGGGATCAAAGGTGTGTACTACCATGCCAAGTCTAAATGATGGTTTTTGTCATATGAATGGCTCCTGGTTTTCTGAGTACTTTGTCTCATGGAGGAGCCTTCCCATCTCCATCTCCCTCACAATTCTTCCTGAGATTGGCTGATAACAGATAATGTGGGGATTTAACAAGGCAACTCCAAGTAGTTAAAAGGTTTATTTTGGGGTAACTTATAGCCAGTAAAAAGGTTGGTTACAGGATCTGGGAGAGGTGAGGTGCAGTCCAATGGGGTTCTCTGGAGAATTCTGACTTGGTCTCCCATCCAGGATCACAAGGAACCAAGATGGCCAGCCTGAAAGGATCTCAGGTTTTCTTTTTTCTTGTTTTTCGAGACAGGGTTTCTCTGTGTAGCTTTGCACCTTTCCTGGAACTCACCCGAGACCAGGCTGGCCTCGAACTCAGAGATCGACCTGGCTCTGCCTCCCGAGTGCTGGGATTAAAGGCGTGTGCCACCACTCCCCGGCTGGATCTCAGGTTTTAAGGGCTCCTGTCCCTGCCACGTCCCAGGGGCAGGTCCTAGGTAGGTGTGGCAGTAACTGGCTGCCTCACTGGGGCAGTGTTTCAAGGTCACAGCTGGAACAGCTGCCCACTGCAGATAACCTTTCAGGATCCTCCTTGTACACGTCACTTACATATGGCTGATTTTAAGTGAGTTTCGAGCTTACATCTGGGTGCACGTGTTTTCTTCCTTTGGTGGAGTTGGGAAATTGTACTCAGGCTTTAGACACAGTAAATGGCAGTGAGCTGTCACAGGACTGCATCAACCACCTGCCTTGCCTGAGCAAGCCCACTGGCTCTGGGGGAAAAGGGACAGGTACCTGCTATGTCCTCTTTTCAAATGGGACAGATGCCTGCATTTTCCAGACCCTGGCATGGCAAGTTTCCAGAGAGGTCGATTTTTATAGACACCAAGTCAACAGTAAAGACAGAACTGAGGATAAAAACATATTTCTTTTAATTGGTCTTGGCTTTGATTTGTACCAACAAGCCCTGGTGACAATACAATTGGATCGTAAACAAGCATCGCTGGGGCAGTCATGCGATCCGGAGAAACACACACCTACTTTCCAGGGAGGCAACTGCTTCCCCACCCCCTCATGATCCTGTGCTTCGGTTCAGAAAGGGGATTGTGTCCCAGCACGAGGGAGGCTGAGGCGGGATGACCACCAGTGTGGGGCCATCTGGGATACATAATGAGACCTTGGCGGGGTGGAGGAGAAAAAAGTAAGTTTGAAACCAAACTGCAAAAATGACCACATCCACACTACTAGGAGAGTATCATCTTCCCAGGTGCTATTTAGGTCACCAGCGCTAAGATTTGCTTCTCCACCAGCCATTTTACTTGAGAAAATGGCACACATTAAGGACAAAGATGTCATTCTAAACGTACTCCTTCACGTGGTAGAGCCTTCCTGCGCTGTGCACAGAAGAAAGAAGAGCAAAAATCTCGGCCTGGCATGACCGCGTGTGCCACCTGTGAACCCAGAGGTTGCCCTCCACCCTGGCAGTGATTTTGGCAGGAGGTGTGCTCCCAGAATATTTACTGGTCCCTGAGGATGGGTAGCTAGCATGAAAATGCTGTGAGGAAGTTTCCACCACTGCTGCCGGATGACCGACCCGCTTGGCTATATAACCTACCTTTTAAAACAGAAAACTGTTGGACGTGTTGAACTTTTTAAATGAAAAGCTAACAGCATTTGCTGCCTTAACCCTTACCTTAAAACCTCTACACGAGTTTTAGTTTTGACTATGACCGTCAAACTGAGCACACTGTAACCATGCAACCACAAGTTACACTGCACCTGACCTATCGTGACAACAGCGTAATGCCTCCCTTTTCTATGGCCTAGTGACAGACTTGATTAGTGAGCAGGCAGAAGACAGTGACTTCACTCCTATCAGGAACGGCACCCACCAGTCAGCTGGCCCGACGGCAGGAAGTGGACCCCTTGACTGTGTGAAGGAGTGGAGCCCGAGGCAGTGGTAGTGACCTGCAGTCCTCTACTGGGGAGCGGCAGCGTGGAAACGGCACAAGGGTGTAGAGTAGGTGGTACCTGGGGATACCCTGAGCACAGCAGGCAGATGGTTAGTGCTGAGTGCCGAGGCCCTGCCAGTCAAGCCTGCAACACCAGGAGGATGTGGGCTCCCTGCTGTGCTCCTGCTCCCTCCTGAGCGGCTCCACCCCTCAGACCCCAGGGTAGGTTCCTTAAACAGTCAGCTGCCAAGCAGGCTCTGCTCTGAAAAAGAAGCCCGATTTGCTCCCAGGGAAGTCTGAGCGTCTCCCTGGGTTCTGCACAAATGCAAGCTCGAAGAGCCGTACAGAACCTGTGGACGCAGGCGCTTGTGTTCCGGGTCACAGGCAGCTGGCTGTCAGTGCATGCTCTCCCGGGCAGCCAACTTCCTGTTCTACCAAGAGCCTGGGGCCCAGACATCACTGGTGCAAGCCTCGATGACGACGATGAAGGGGAGAAAAAAAAAAAAGGAGGCGCGGTCAGAGAGGCCCTGGGCTCACTCACTGAGCTGAAGAACTATGCCCGAGGCCTGGGAAACTGTGCTAATGTGGGCAGCAGCCTGGGGGGCACTGGCCCTCCTGAAAAGACACTTTGGGCTTGCTATAGAGGTAGGAAGACAGGGACAGGAACAGGCCAGGCAGAGGAGGAAAAGCCTCCGGGACAGAGTGGCTTTTCTCCACCCCACACCCGTCCACCCCCCTGCTGGTCACACATAGAAAAACTACACTATTGCTCATTGGGTTTCAAGAGTCATCCCCAGGAGAAACGCCCGAACGCCCACAGACCGGGCCTGAAGCTGACGACATGCTTTCACAAGACAGACCGAGACTACAAAAGCCCAGAAAGGCAACCGACTGTGGCAGACGCAGCAGGGGCACCGAGGAGAGGGCTCCACAGACCAACAGTACTCAGTCCTTCTGGTGAGAGTGTGCATGGACTCAGCCAAGAACCATGGCCTGCAGCCCCGGCGAGGAGGTTCAGAACATTTGCCCCGTTCACGGGGATTTGTAAAATAATTAAAAAGCCCACATTTAAAAGTTATAATTTATAGAATATCCAGTATAAAAGCAGTCTTTAAAAAGGGACTCTGGCTCTCAGAAGAAGTCCGCAGCCCTTGGCCTTCTCTTTGGAGTGGTGGCTGGTAGCTTCAGGGTTGACAGAGGCGTGCTGGCCGGGGAGCTGGCCGGGGACTTCAGCACTCCATGGAGTGGCCGCTGCTCAGGGTTGAAGGCCACTCTGGAGAAGCCTGTGGGGCTGACCAGGATACTCTTGTCTGTCTTCTTAAATTCTGGTCCAAAGGAAAGTAGAGGCTATTAGTTGGGTGTCACGTCTGCTCCTCCCAGGTGTGCAGAGCCCATGGCTCACACTCCCCATGCCCCAGAAATGCAGAAGACACCTAGATGTATATAGAGGGGAACACGTTTCACCTGGGGTTTGCTGAGGTGTGTGTGTGTGGCGGGGGCCAGGAGGGACAGCCAGCTGCCGGGGCAAGTGTCCCTCAGCAGGGCCCGTCTTCACCTTCAGCTCTACACATGGGGATGTTGAGCTTCAGGAACGTGCTCCTCACTCCTTCCTGCATCCCCTACTCTCAAACACAGGTGTGTGTGTACACATTCCCTTACTGTCCACAAGAGTAAGGTCTTCAACTCATTAAACTTAAAACTAGTGGGACATGGTGGTATATGCCTTTAATCTCAACGACTCAGAGGAAGAGGTGGAGGATCTCTGTGAGTTCCAGGCCAGCCAGAGCCACACAATGAGACCCCCCCATTTTTTTAAATATATTTTATTTATTTTTATGTGCTTTGGTGTTTTGCCCTCATATTTGTCTGTGTGAGGGTGTCAGGTCCCCTGGAACTGGAGTTACAGACAGTTGTGAGCTGTTATGTGGGTGCTGGGAACTGAACATGGGTTCTCTAGAAGAATAGCCAGTGCTCTTAACTTCTGAGCCATCTCTCCAGCCCGAGACCCTGTCTCTTAAAAAAAAA